TGTTTTTCCCTTCGAGCTTAGATTTCAGTGAAGTGTTTTTTCTGTAGTTCTCGAGTAGTCTATTTAGGAGGACTATGATGAATTTGATGAGCTTGTCCTAATGACATATTCCAGAATAAGGTGCTAAGCACTTCTAATGGGCGTAGATTTTAGTCCATCTGTACCCTTGTTCTTCCTCAGTAAAATGGAGATATCCATAAATTCCTACTATTTCACATAAATGGAATAGAAATCATTATTTTAACACACCATGGAGATGCTTTGACACTCAAATAATGGGGGTAGTGTATAGATAGCTTTATGAAAACAAAGTAACCCACCTTTAAGGTGGGGTGTAAGAGAAACTGTCAGCTTTTGTATTCTTGACCTGCAATTCTCAGTAAAACAAAACAAAACAGAAATTACTCATTTGAACACCACAGACATAAAATCTTGGCAAATGTCAAACAGGAGTAGCCAGGTTTCATCTGAGCAAAAGTTACGTTCCTATTCTGTATTGTACTTATTCATGCAATTATCATATTCATATGGAATGATCACACAGGATGGCACAATGCTTAGTAAGTTACAGCTTTGTTGAAAGGAGGTCTTCAGGTACCATCTATATGTAAATAACAGTGTTATCCAATAGGGTAGAACATGCAAGCAAATGTACATTTGTATTTTATATAACTGAGGCCTGATCCCACTGATTATATCCTGGTTAGAGAGAAAATTCATTATTGCCTTACATAGTACCAAATTTTACCCATGTTATCCACCGTTAACCAAAGGAAAACTGATTACTTTACCAACATACAAATTGATCTCTCTATGACATGGCAAGGAATCAGAGGAACAATTATATTGATCCTGTAAGAATATTAGGTCTAATACAGAGGCATTAACCTTTGTTTAACCAAAACGTAAAACACATGAAAAAGACAACATTTTATTACTACCCTCCTGCAACAAATAACTCATTTCTTACTACTATAAATTCAATTGCTAGTACTTAAGAGCAAAACTTGCACTTTACTTTCAGAGGTTCTTGATTAATTTACATTGAGGTCTTATATCAAAACTGACTATATGGTCATAACGACCAAGTCCTGCAAGGTGTTATGCCCTGCACAGGGGGCTAAAAGCAGCTGCTGAGTCCTTTAGAGAAAGATAGAAGTTGATAACAAGTTATATGTAGTCAAGAACACTGGCCAAGCCACAGGAAGTAGATGGTCAAGCAAGAAAGATATTATTGACTTCTGGGGCAGTATTGATCCTTATCATTGCCTCACTCTTAACTTCCTCTGAGAACACTCATAAGCTTGAGTAGTTGCTTTTATTGTCTCAGTTCAGAAACAGCTGAAAATCTTAGATCTGGCACTTTTCCATGTCATTTGAATCAAGGATTGGAAAGACTGTGTTGCTAAAAGCCTGTCAAGTACAAACTCACCCCAGTCACCAGTGTTTGCTTCATCCTCAGCAGTCTCTCATATTTTGAAAGCATCTTGCCTTTAATCAAACACGTTAAGCCAGGATTATATCAGGCCTCTCCTCTGCACATTTCTTTTCGCTGTAAAATCAAGTCCTTTCCATAAGCATGCATCCCTGGATTATCTCATTACAAAATGTTTTCAGTGGAATTCTGCATAGCCTCCTTTGGTTTTACCTGCACAGTTTTTACTGTAACACAGGGCCAAATTTATGATTTTATTTCAATACAGTTTATTTTTCTTTATTAAAAGCAAATGTCATTGGGGCTTCTGAAATCTGTAAGGCTACATGGCAGGCCACAGGAAACAGTACTGTATTCAGAATTTAATATTCTTCAATGTGCTGGTTAACAGAATGTTGATATCTGCTTAATATTTTCTTTACAACAACCTATCAGATCTCCTCTTATGCTTTTTCTTGCCAACCTCAACTATCAGCTTTTGCAATTACAAAACAGAACATGAAACAAAGCTGTAGCTTAAAGTTCCAGATTTTTTTTTATTTTTTTTTTTTAACTATTGAAAATGCATCAGCTGTTTCAAAAACTTTTAATCATGGCGATGTCACACACTGAGTTGTTGTTTAAACAAAAGCCACCCATTTACCATGAAGCTACAAAGCAGAGAAGAAAAGCAATGAACTATGGGATAGAAAGTTAATACATGGATGTCCTCTGTGCCAACACTGCCAGCAAAGCCCTATTGCAAATCAGACGCTTCACTGGAGGAAATTTTTGGCAGCCTAAAATGAAGCAGCAACAGCTCAAGTATGTTTCTGAACCTCAGTTATAAAACTGTTCACATGCACTGTAAACTCTCGCTTGCTATTTTTAACCCCTGGGCTCCCACGTTTTGTTTTCATTTTGTCAAAGCAAAGGAATGTGAGAGAGATGTCTATTAGACTCCTCCACTCAGCCTGAGGGTTAATTACTCAGTTTGGTAGACATTTGAAAATATTATGTTACCTCTAACGGCAAAATTGATAGAAGATTGTTTCAGGCTCACTTTATGTCTTTATGGCAGATTAAATTAACTAATCATAAATTATGCTGGCTAAAGTACACCTGTTACTCACTAACCCTGCAGAAGGAAGAGGAGGATCTTTTCTCAATACAAAGTAAATACTATGCAGTAAATTAAAGATTTTTCAAATCACTAAACATGCATTCAAGCAACAAAAATTGGCAGCATCCCCAAGATGGCAGTGGCAGATTCTGAAGAATAGGACAGCATTCTGAATGCACAACTGCTGCAGAAATGCGTCAGTACTGCAGTGCTACAGGTGTATATCCACAGATTAAAGCAAACAGACAGAACGTCTATTAAAGAAGAACAGAGTGTGCTCGCATTTTTGTTAGATGTATTGGAATACTAGGAGGACATAAAGGGTGAATGTTTGTGTGGTGGTTTTGCTCAGGTGGGCAGCCGAGCTCCACCACAACTGCTCTCTCACTCCCCTTCTTCTCAAAGAGAAAGGGGGAGAAAATACAACACAAAGAGCTCGAGGTTTGAGATGAGAATGGTTAAATTAAAGGGAAAGGGAATGGGGAGAAAAAAAGAAACAAAAGAAACAATAAGGCCGCACAGAAGCACAGAGAGAAAGGAAAAAAATATATACTTCCCATCAACAAGCGATGTTCGGCCACATCCTAGGAAGCAGGGCCTCAAAACGCGTAGTGGTTGTTCAGGAGGACAGCCCCCTCCCCCACGAGAGCCCTCCTTTTTATTGCTGAGTGTGACATCAGATGTTATGGAATATCCCTTTGGTTGGTTTAGGTCAGCTGCCCTGGAGATGTCCCCTCCCCATCACTTGCCTACCCTCACTCAGCTTGCTGACTCTTGGGGGCTTGGAGGGAGTCCTGATGTTGTGCCAGCACTATGCAGCAATAGACACAACACTGGAGTGGTATCAGTGCTGTTCCAGCTACAAGTGCAGAACACAGCACTGTGTGGGCTGATGCAGGGAAAGGTGACTCCATCCCAGACAGACCCAACACAGTTTGCAACCCCAGTTTCCAGTGTCATCTGCTTTCTGTTGATAGAGGCTGAAAGACCCATTTCTATGTGCTTCCAAGGTAAGGATGGATGTATACAACACTAATTTAGAAACTGGTATAGATTTTATAGTGATCCTCCTGTTACACTCAGCATTGCATGATGTGGATGTAGCACCTGATACCACATCAGTATGATGGAATTCCTGAATAGGACTTGGACAGCTAAAGTCAGAGATGCATGGCAGGAAGGGACAGGAAACACAGGCATTCAAGACTTTTTCTGTGCAGTATAAAGCACTGAGTCCCTATCTGCAAGCTGATGATATACCAGCTCAATCATGTTAAATAAAGACTTACTTTCCTTTGGAAGAAAATAAAATAGAAATGCAATAAGTAGGTCTAAGTGAGCCCATCAGCTTCCTAATGACTCTGTTCAGAAGGAATGTAACCACAGAACTGACAAATCTGTTGTGTTTCTTCATGCGTCACAGAGACTTCTGAGTCTCTTCAGACAACCAAATAACCCAAACTTAGTTGAAGTACAGACTCTCAACAGACTATAACCTCTTCTGGAAAGGTGCAGTATCCCGAGTTCATCTATTCCCAGATTCCTTCTCCATCAGTGCCAAGAAGCAGGTGATTTTCTTGATACTGAGCCTTTTTCCCTTTTTTTTCCTCCCATTTTGTGTTCTCAGAACAATATTCCCTAAACCACCTCCTACCCATGATGCATACAGCAATGAAAAAGTCAGCTGGAAGGAAATACAGCCACACCAGGGTTAAGACAGAAGCACCAAAGAAAGAAATTGTGTCCCCCACCAACATGAGCTAGGCAATGATGAGGTTTAGTCCTACAATGAAAATTAAAAAAAAAAAAAAATCTTCTGAAAATAAAAGAAAGCTTTGATCACCATCAGTCACTGAATAGCCTATTTTAAGCCCATCAGAGCCAGTGCACTGTTCTCATGTTGCTAATTAAAAATGATAGATTCATCAATTAATCTCTTTTCCTGTCCCCTTGTCTCGGTATGAGATTTTTCAAAGGGACAAATGGTAGTTAGGTGCCCAAAGAATCATTTCAACCCTGAAAATTTGTACCTTTGTCAACATAAACCTGACCTTGTCTCTTCAGACTGTGAAATGACAGAAAGAAAACCATAGGAAAACCATAATCTTACACAACGATTTATAAATTGAGAATAATTTTAGCTTCTCTACAATAAATATTGTTACATAAATCCTTCCTGGGTTCCAATCTGAACTTCCTTGTTGATAGATGAATAAGCCTCTGTTAAATTTTTCAGAGAGAGATATCCTAAGCTTAGACTCTTGATTGAAACTCAATTGCAATATTTACTGTGGAGCAGTCAGAGACACCCCACTGTTTAGGAAAGGAGCAGTGAAGGCAATCTATTTTTAATCATAATGAAATGGAGACAAAGGCTCTGCTGCTAGCTTAGCAAAGTTCCAGAGACATAAAGCTGGCCAATGAAATTGGTTACCTTTTTCCTTCACAGCATATGTATCACTAGGCAGTCAAATAGAATGGGGGTGTACAAGGTTAACAAGCTAGCATCATGTTATGAAGCCAGTGATAAAATTGTCTTATAGTTCTTAACTCTGACCTGTTCCAGTGAAAAGCTGCCAAGCAGAATTATGTCATCCTGAACATCTCTCTCAAACTGTTTGATATATGAAGGAATCACTTCATCTTCAAGTTCCCTGTGAAGGTCACATGTCTTACTGAAGCTGACAGGCATCACGGAATCTGGAAAATCTTCACTGGTGACACGGGCTGCTTGAAACAAAAGAGGCAGATTCTCACTTAGCAAATGAGATTTCATTCATTGATTTGTACTCCTCATTTGTGATGTTTGGCCCACCAAAACTTAAAAACAATGACGCATATGCTGTAAAATTACTAGAAATGAATAACCATGAAAACACTGGCAGATTCCAAGTACCATTACCAAGAATATGGAATACTATCCTCAAAAGCAACATCAGGAACAAATGTAGCATGTGCAGCTTTTTCTGTAAGAGGTTAAAAAAGGGGTGCAATGCATGTCTACGGTCACTTCACTTCCCAGTAAATTTTAAAGGAATTTTGGTTTGGAATGACTTTGGCTTTCACTCCTTGGGAAGATTAGGAATAACTTCAGTTGTAAGGGAGGCTTTGGTTCCTCCCTAAGGGAGCCATACCGAGCATTTCATCTTCCTCCCACTCACCCGAGAGAATCAGATTCCTTCCCAAGGTGTGTGTGTGCAACTCCCGCCTAATTAATTGGGTCCGGTTTTGCTCTCACCCACATCATTCCATTGATTTCACTGCCATGATGTATGTAGAACCAAAAGGTATGTGCTGTATATACATAAAAATAAATCCCATTCATAAAGCTAACCTCACAGACAAACTGTTTCCTTTCTTTACTCCAATTCAATATGCTACTTAAAAACATATCTTCTCATTGATATCTGCTACAGTACACATATTAAAGACAATTATTTTTGCTCGTTCCTCTATATTAAGATCACTGAGATATGACATATATCACGCTGTCCACATCTGACTTCATATTTCTGTGTGTAAGTGCATGTTTTAATAGTTATCTCTGACTTTCCCTGCAAAAAAAATGGCATATCTAGTTATTTGCCTTCCTCTTTGTCCATCCTAAGACATGAAAACAGTTAGAAGATTTTTTTATCCTGCCCCTTTGAAGTCTCTCGTTCTCTAATGAAGACCAGAAAAGGAAAGATAAAACTAAGGCTATTAAAATTTTCAGTTTTGCTCACTACTCATTGTGCAATGACTTTAATTGTTGAGCCTCCTGAGTACTTAAATCACCTCAGTGCCACCAACACACAGGAAGTAGTTTTTTATTTAATTACAACAGGATACAAATTCAAAATCATGTTAGGGGAAGCGTACAGTAGATATAAACAACCAAAACCATTACCTTAGGGTACACGGAATCTCTTTGCGTAGCATCTTACAAACGTAATGAAAAGTGATTTGACCTACAACTATTAACAGGAAAAAAAAAAAAGAAGAAGAAGAAAAAGATATTTACATTTAAATTTGCTGTAACTTTAAGGGTTTGGCTAGCACAGAAAAAATCCAGGAAGTGCTGGAAAAGAAAACGTTGCCAACAGCAGAGGATGCAGCATTGCCTGTTCCCTTCCATACTGTGTTGACACAATGGGACATATGCTCAGCTGGTGTAAATCATCTGACTTACTGCTTTCACAGGAGCACTGCAAGCTTACATCATGGAAGGGACAGTACATTCCTATTTCAGATCCTCTGAGCATAGATTGGCTATATATACAAAAAGAATAAAAACATTCAGTCTGCAAAGGCAACAATACAGTGATTTGGTAGAACTGACTATTACTGACTATATACTTTTGGTGTTTGTTATATTGAGGAATTCTATCCAGTGAATTCAATTTGGTTGGAAGACACCAGGCTCATTAACAAGAGTTTTGTGGAAAAAGAAGAAAAGAAGAGAGATAACATTTTCTAAAGCCTTTTCAAGGGAAGTAACTGCTAAAAATGCAAACATAAATTATGGTTTAGTTTTGAAAAGTATTTGGTGAAAATATACATACAGTCATTTAAGCACAGATAAAAAAATAAAAATTAAAATAATGTATACAGTATTAGCTTGGCTGCTTGTAACTTCATTTACACCTGCACTTGTCCATCAGGTAGCAGTGGTTTGAATACTGAGATGAAAATTTAAAGGACAGGTTCAACAGCATATTATACCTAAACACAGGTTTGAAGGTATAAAGTACTTATAAAATCCATAAGGAAAATGCATTTTGGCTACTTGGTTCTAGAAGACTGTATAAACTGTAGCTAAAAGAGAACATCACCAAAGGCCATCAAACAACTGTAATCCTGCAAAACATTTTACTTTATTTTTTCTCTTGCTGCCAAAGCATAATATAATAAAAATTGTTTTCTATGATATGGCACCTGGCATCATTTTAAATGTACATGGACCACAATCTTACAAAAAAAAACAGACAACCAATATTGTCTTTTAGATTATTTATAATATGATTTAATACGTACCATAAGAGTGACCAACATGTTACCCAGTGGAAAATGTTTTAAGTATGCAATGATATAAGTTCTGAGAGATACATTCTTTCTTTTCCTTTGGAGATCATCTATTAATTAGGACTGTATGACTGTGATTTTTCAGTTCAGTGGTCAAATTTAAAAAAAAAAAAAAAAAAAAAAGGAAAACATTCTGTAAGAGTGGAACCAAATGAATCCTAGTTTTCTATGGATTTTCTGATGTCTAATAAGGGTCAAGCTCCCATATTAGTTTTTCCCTCGGTGGAGACATTAATAACACTTGTCTGCTCTGCTCAGCTGCCCACTTCCATAAAAACTGGTAGGGAAGTCAGACCTGAGAGAATTGTTCTCTGGGGGGGGGGGGGGGAGAAGAAAAAAAAAAGAAAAAAAAAGCTGAGGGGGGGCGAGGAGGAAAACAGATTCAAAAATCTGTAGGAAGAACCACAGACAAGCAGGAATAATATAGCCCATACATGCACACAGAGGTGGAGACTGCACAATCCTTGTTTCCTCATGAAAGTCCTGCTCTTTTCAGGGTTTTATTCACCAAAGCCAAAAATTCTGCCAGGATTCGATGGAGCATTCCATCATCCATAGCACTACCTCTGATATCCATTATGGTTCTTTTAGAAATAAAAGTGCTAAGAGAGAAGACAGCAGCAGACTGCTTTAGTTCCCACATTCATAGTATTCACAAAGGCTCTGATGTGCTTGTGGAGTGCAAGACACACCTCTCAGTAGCTTTGCTTGCCTTTGAATTAAATCATTGAGCTGTCAGCAAGGTCAGGGCTCCAAGGACTAGTCTGTGCATGATGCCCACCCGCTCAGCAGGCTCAAAGTGAGATCACCATCATCAAAGTACACCACATGCATTCAAATGGTTTTGGTCAAGTCTAAGTCAGTTGTCCAAGACCCTTCTAAAGACCAATGAAAAAGGGAGGAACTGCTTCTAGAGTGTAATTAGTCTGTTTAATTAAGAGGTGCGTGTGTGAGGTGGGCTGAGCCACTGTCTGAAAGACCTTCTCTCCTCCCTTCCCATGGCTTCAGGGGGAGCCCCACCCCCTGCAGCTAACTGTCAAAACACTAATGGAAAGAATACTGGACCCTACCTGAGGGCAGCCTATAAATTACATTAGGACATTTTCCTTAACCTCACAGGGATATTTTAAACAAACAGATTAAAGCTATTGAAGACCATGAAATACCATAAATGTTGGTAGAGGGGGACAACTTAAGTACTACAGGTAGAGACCCCATGACCATCTTTCCTATAGAATCAACATTGACTTCACCACAGCCAAGCAACAAGTTTTCTTGTTTGTTTGTTTGTTTGTTTACTTAATCTATGTTGTTATATGAAGCAGCAATCAACCTGCAGCATTTCTGTAAGCTTTCTCAGCAACGAGGAGCTCCATATCAACATGCACCAATGTGGGACTTGCTAATAATTTGTTAAAGGTTTTTGCTTAAACTATCTGCATGAATTAGCTATGCTTGTACTTTCTTTTCCTTGCATTTAAAGTAAGACAAAATAGGTTTCAAAGATGTAACTGATATGACTAGTCCAAGCTCAAGGGATTTTGCAACCCCAGGTCAATGAAATCCTTTAGCTCTTCTAGAACAAAGTTGCTTACAAGCTCAATTGTCAGGAAATATGTTGCAACTCCTGGAGCTCCAGTGCTGTAGCCAACAGCTTGTTCTGTCCCTCTGACAGAGTAGGTGCTGAGAAAATAAAATATGACTAGAAGCCACATACAGTACAAAGAACAGAAAATAATTTTGCACAAAAGACTGGAAAGGTGGTTGGGGTGGGTGGGGAGAAGACACATTGAGTGGAATACCCAAAAACACGAGGGTAGCCATGAGCTGAGGCTTGTTTACACATCTCTTATTCTAGGATGAAGCCTAGGAGAACAGCAGGTATGGACCTTCTGTAAAGGCTGTGGTGGTAGCACTTTCATGAATCAAGTGGATGTTAAAAATGGCTGCAAAAATAAGTACAGCCAAAGTAAAAATGTTGTCTGGAGGTAAAAAAATATTTTCTCTTACTCTTTGTTGTTTCTACTGTAGACGAAACATCCATTTGGTATTCCTCACAAAGCCACAAAAGACATTTTCTAACTTGTCTGTTAGTGTAAATTCTTGTGAAGATAACCTCAAATACTGTATGACGTGACCAGTACATCTGACAAATAGACCACCCATTTATGGATGCTTAAATAAAGACTTAGATTTCTAGCATTAAACACGTAAGCAAGGACTTTTCCAATCTTCATTTGTTTGGGTGGAATTCAACATACAGTGAAGCAGTCTAAAGAAAGCATGCCACTGAAGTTACACTTAAAACCACATAAATGCAACTCAAAATGAAAACATTTGGGGGAAAAGGTTTTACAGGCTCACATTAAAATCAATATCCTTTTTTCTTCTGAGTTCAAGATTACCCACTCTCCTCCCCACATCCAGACACAAGAGAGTTTTGTCTTCCTTTATGCAAATGGTTTTGTTATTTACCTTGGGAGTCCACCATCTCGCTTTCTTCCTCTAGAAAATTCATCAGTTTACCATATCGGATTTGCTCCTCAAATTTCACAGGATCTTTTGGGGGAAAATAAATAAATAAATAAATCAGCAAGATATCTATTGTTTCTTTGTTTCTTCCAGTAGTATTTCATGGCATATTATTTTGAACTATAAATAAACATATACAAATACAAAAGAAACCCTTTGAAACACAAAGATTAGTTTTTATAGTGATAGCTTCATTGCAGAGCTGTCATGTTCTTCTGAATTATGACAGAGTTTAAAGTAAAAAATATTTAATTGCACACTTTTCAAGGGTGATCAATATTATATCTTGGTCCGTACTGAAACCGTTTTTCTGATGGATGGATTCTATTTGATTCATAATAAAAATCAAAGTACCTCATTTCTTCTCTAATATGATTTTGGATATTTATTAAAAATTTTACCTTGCTGTCCATAAAGATAACATTTCTAGTGTAAGAAGACTTTACAATATGCTGTGGTATTACAATATGTTGCAGGTCTGTCATTCAAATTCCCAATAACATCTACAGATTTTTAAACAGAGCAAGGGTCACACACACGTATGTACCTTTTTCCAGGAGACCTAAAAGCACTTCAAATGTCTATATTTAAGATAGAAATGACCAGCTGAGACTATTCATGTCACCCAGACTCTGGCTTTCTAAGTCATCAGTGAAAGTAGGCTGGTAGAAGACTAAAGTGTACCTAAGGTAGGTGAACTTTTTATCTACAAATTACATAGGGTGACTCTGTTTAAATGAAATGTTCACTTGAGGGTAGAGGAGGAAAGGCAAACCTATAATGGGGGGTTGTTTCTTCTCAGGGCGTTATCAACTCAAATTTCCAGAACAAGTTTTATTTATCAAGTATAGAAAAGATAATTGCTAATATCGCAATTTTGACAGAAAAGTCCATTAAAGAATCCCCCTATGACCTCATTGAAATTGTACTTAACATTGTACAAGATTTGTGAAGATTTGTTTTTTACTGGCTATTCTCTTTGGTTCTGACTAGGTTATGTCATAAGAGCTATGTAACTTTAAAGTGTGCACAGAATTCTTCATCTTGTTCTGCTTCTGTCTCTTGTTAGTGGCCACTTATGGCTAGATGGAAAGAGAAGGCAATTGCATGTGGTCTCCAATCAGACGATCACCATCTAGGACCAGATTACAGTTCTGACTATCCTTTTTAAACTGTGTCCAATACATACAAATGCAGTTCCACTTATTTGACGCTTCTACAAGGAAAAGATGGAAACCGGGCATAGAACCATTTGTGAGTATATGGGATAGTGAGTTGTTGAGATGTCTGGCATCAGATTAAGGGATGGACAAATTCAGAGAATTACTATGAAACTGACATTATGACATCCCCACCCTAACTTCACTGGCTCCACTTTGATTTAGTTATCCTACAAAATTTAGGAGGAAACCATGGAGAATTCTACATTTTGTAAAAGACATTATTACAGGGAAAAAAAAAAAAAAAAAAAGATATTACGCACACATACTCCAAATAGCTAGGTATTTTAGGGCTTTAGATAAATTCTAGTGAAGCTCTGTTTTGTTTCTGAAGAACCATACTGTTTTTCTGCCCAATACCAAAATGGACTATACAAGAGAATGCAAAGAAAAATTCACCTGAAACTGCAGTGTCTTGCCTTCAACATGCAGTCCAAAAGGTTCTAGGCAAAACATGACTAACAGAAGATAAGAAAATATAAATAAGTAGAAAGAACAGAATTCTCCACAGCATACTACAGCTTCAAATATTAAGAGAAAGGTGGGGTGGTAATCTGTAATAGAATGTCACATTTGTGACATGCAGGTATGCATTATTTCTCTCAGAGAAATGCTTCCATCCAACCTGCAACCTACCACTATCCTTGGCAGAGATGTTAGTCACTATAACATTTTAATTGCTCTAGCTGTTCTGCAGATCTTAACACAGCCAACCTGAGGCCAGCACCATCCCTAACAAGCTTGCAATAAAGAGGCCTTTCCCCAACCTCTGAGTGAGAGTTTTGCCAAGGAAGAAAAAGGAAGAGCACCAAAGGACAGCCATGCAAAGACCTCAAGTCTGGTCTGATATGCAAGTGCCTAAACTTAACTCTTCCTCCACCACCCACAACTGGATGGACTTAGAGCTTTCATTTTTTCCAAATTATTAAAAAAAAAAAAAAAAACTCTTAATTCTCTGGATATGAAGCAAATCATGACTCATGATGACTATTCATAAGATGCACCAAAGCAGTATTGACAAGAAAAATTCTTTCACTTAAAAACTCTGAGACAGAAGTTGACTTCTAAGGTATGTCATTGTCCTACACAAGTAATGGGGAAATTAGAGTTGTATGTGATTTGCCCTTGATAAACCTAAAATCATCATCTTTTTTTCACTGGTACACAGAAATTCAAATTACTGATGTGTACTAGAGCCTGCTTTTTTTTTTTTTCTCAGTTACATGTTTTTGCCTCCAAAATTTAAATCTTGATATCTACTCAAAATAAAAAATGTCATGAGTTCCAAAGTGAACTATTTTGAGATATTGCAGTAGACAAATTTTCACACCTACACTTTTTTTTTTTCTACATTTGACTACAACTGTGTCTCTAGAGAGGTTCTGCAGTAGAAATAATTACAAGGATTGAAAAAGTGAACGGCCGGGAAGGTAACAATGTGGAAATCAGTCTTGCGTGCTATCAGGTTGTTTAACAGGAGCTGGGCCAAAACATTCTGTGCACAGCTAAGAACTTCATTACCATGATAATGTTCTTACTTAAGTCCATGCAAATTCAGGCAGGCCCGTTCCCACCCTTTTTATTTAAAAGCAAAGGAGAATTTCCTCAGCTCAGAGCAAAAGACAATACTTCCTAGTTAATCTCTCTCATACTTAGGCATAACTTCTGTTCTCCCCATACCACAGAGTCACACCCTCCTTCTCCTTGTACCTACAGACAACAAAGCTGAATATCTTGGCTAAACTGGTGAAAAGAAAACCAAAAGAGGCCTCCTGTTATGCTGAGAACTGTTACAGACCCTGGGGTTTCTCTTCTGTTAGGCAAGCAGACGTTCAGCTTAATGACAAAATTGTTCTCAAACAAGGACTTTGGGATGCAAAAAAGCTGGACTAACTAGGTTAATTAAAGAGAACACAGGGTAGACAGTTTTCTTGGAGTGTGCTTCATTGTTATTGCTATAATAAGCTGAGTGAATACAGCACAGCCTCAGTTTTACCAGCTCACTGTCCTTGATCAAAGACTATGTATACTGCCTATCATGTCCAGAGCAGGTAAGACTTATAATTTAAATTGTAAACTTCAATATTTAAATGAAACTGCATATGTGATCTTTGTCACCTAATTTTCATAAATGGAAAAGAATATTCTGACACCAAAATTACATACTTAATTCTGCCTCACCTTCTTCACTGACCTCCATCCCACACTGCCTTGGGTTTATTTCCTCATCCATCAGCAGGTCAAAGTAATTTCTGCTGTATTCATTTCCTGTGGAAAGCACATGAAGTAAGGGTCAGTGATTATTAGAAGCACATGAACCAAAATGTTAATTTTGAAATTGACACCAGCAAGCACAGGGGCATTTTTTGCTACTTTATAAGCTTAATTTTTTTTAACAAGTCTTCTAAGCCTACTAGTACTGCAATTATCATCTTGTGAAAGGTCAGAAAAGGTAGTTCTGGAAACAAGTGTACTTTATGTTACTTTTACTTGGGAACTAATGAGAAAAATTCTCAAGTTTAGATGACTGAATGATAAGAAAAAAATATAAATATCCAACATCCCCAACATAAGCCAAATTATTCTTGAAACACATTTTATAAATGAATTACCGATGCTGCAGACAAATTTGTGTTTCACAGCTGACCCCTCCAATTTCATCAGTTTTAAATTTCACCACTGAGGTTTCAACGTCTGGTGCATCTTTAATACTGTATTCAACCAGAGAAGTGTTTAATTACAGAGGAGATACTAGAATACTGCCTCATTAATCTGAACAGCAATTATATTCAGTTGGGCTAGGTAGATAATCCAAGATTTTGATGGGATAAAAACGCTCATTTTAGCACTTTCTATTTCAACAGCTAGTTGTATCCATTCGTCAGAAACTAATCAAGTTCACACACACACACACACACACAAAAAAAGTATTTTGTTAGACTTATCAAGGAATAATGCAGCATCTAGTTGCCTGGAGGAACTCCAAGTACCATCAGCCCAAAGAAATCTTTTTACACAAGGGGGATAGGGGAGATTTTTTTTTCTCTCAAAATATGTCCTTCCTTCAGAAAAGTGCTACTCGATTAAAACCACTCTTATATTCATTGAGTTTGTGAACACAGTAAATTATTATTAAACAGAGGAAAAAATAAAATAGTTAAGACTATAACAAATTTTAAAATTGCTTGAGCAGGCACAAATCTATATCCTAGAAAGTACATAAGAACTAAATGTGTGAGGGGGTTAATTTATCCAAGACACACTATAGTAGTCTACAGTATATTTGGTTTAGGATCAAAAATAATCTGAACAGCAGCTCCTTCTCAGAGACTAAATGAAACTTTGATATGAAACTAGGTTTAATTTATATTTCTGGACTGGCACATTTTGACTGTCAGTCTCTGTTCTTTCAATGTAGTAAGTACAAGAACTGAAAATTTGCTTTACCTTGAGGTCTCAATAAAGAAAAAATAAATGAGTTTCATTTTTGTTACTTTATCTGTCAACAACTACTAGGCTAGTATGAATCTTGGCAGTATGTAATCAAAGTCTTATGTACTGCAATAACAGAGCCATTCTACCTTATTCACTGTAATTGTTTTTCTCTAGCACAAAATACCGTGATGTTATATGAACACCCTTTCACATGTTGGTAAAATAATTCACCCATGTGCTAAAGAAGAAAATGATGATGCATCTCTCTGTTCAGTTAATTCATAGCTATAAATGTAAATAGTTATACGTTGCAACCATATAAGCAATATGCAGTTAGCACATAGGGCTTCTGTATGGTCTTAGTACCACAATAGCTATTACTGAATTTTAATACCCTGTGTTCTTTATCCCTTGGGTTTAGTATTAAACTCTGAGGAACAGACTTGCAGAACTCTTCTGGACAGAATAACTGGCATTTAGGAGGAAGTGTCATGTTATATTTGAGTCTACAAGGCATGGAAACCATTATTCTAAAAAGAGATACATGGACAAAAAACATTAAACAGATTGCTCTTTGGTCCGCTTTAAAAAAAAAAAAAAAAAAAAAAAAAACTCACTTCTTAGAAGTGAGTACAAAACACTTCATCCATGGCTACAGCTCTGTGAGAACCACACACAACTGGAGATACTAAATTGTGCAGAAGTAAAAAGAACAACCAGGTTTATCTCTCCATAGCAATGTACTGATTTTTTAATTTTAATTTATTTTAATTTAAAACTCACATAGGTAGAATGAATACTAAATGTCAGAATCACCTCCTTATGATGATTTTAAAGAGAATAAGACATTTTAAAATATAGAACACCACAGAAGACTTGCAGAGAGGCTTTCTGAAGAGAAGTAATATCTGCAAACCTTAGATCGCTGCTCTTGTCCTGTTGTTTTTTTTTGTTTTGTTTTGTTTTGTTTTGTTTTTCCTCCCAGCTCAACATACCCTGAGAACTGAACCACACAGTTACAGGTAGGATATGCAGCTCTGGACTCAGCTGATTTTCAGGTATGGAAGGGGTAGAGGGAGTTAACTTTAGATTTAAAATACAAAACTATCAATTTTAGTCAACATAACATACTGCCCAAAGCATTTTACTAATAACATTTTGTGAGCATGTGAATGGATTACTAATCATTTCATGTTTGCTTTTGGAAATATTTGAAAGTGTATAACATGTAAATTAACAGTCCACTAAGGAATTCACATTACTCTACTTCACGGTATAGACACAGTAAAGCAAATGTTAATACAGAGCTTGCTTGCAGGTATTTTGAACAGCAATGTACAGCTTAGTGCTTTCAGACAGCAAGTTACTTTGAATATCTCCTCCTGTGAAGAGCTAGTCAACTTTGGATATGTGAGTCTTTTCTTTGAACCAGATGTTCACTCAAACTAATAATTCAATTGGAAGCCCTATTCACTCCCTCAAAATTATGTTACCTTGTGGAAAACACAATGGATGATTCAGGAAATCAGAACTGAAGAACAAAACGAGAATAATCTATAAATTCAAATAAAACTGGAAAGAAAGGTGTTGGCACAACAGTGACCAGGTGGGAATTTATACAGTTTAATTACGGGAAGAGGAGTTGCTAATAAAATTATCGTAATCCTCAGATGCAGCCCAGGGGACTACATACATTTTACTAAGACTGTATGAAACTCTAAGACGGATTTTAAGCTGTCTGTAATCAATTATACAGTCTACATCCTGAGAATACCACAGAAATGGCATGACTAAGTTACATTTCTGCAAGGTCTTCTACCCTGCAAGGAAATCAGATAGTCTATACTGATAACATATCAAGTGTACAAAAAGAAATTTCAATGATGGACAATTATTCCATTGTCCCTCATATTGTATTATTGATCTGTGTTTTAAGTTTAACAACAAAACTACATTGGAGTGGTTGAACTTCTCCTAACCAAAGTAAAAATAAAGAAATTACTAATAACCAAGTGGCTGATTAATAAAAGCTTAAGTAAGCTTTCTCAGATGCTTGTTTTCAGAGTGATGCTTGGGACAAAAGCAAAAATTTCTGCATAGATCAAATTTTGTTATAAAACAGTGCACAGATTATGATCTCAGCCAACTTGCCTTAATGAGTTTCAGCTCTCCCTTTTCAGGTAGCTGTGTGGTCAACAGAGCTCTCTACCAATGACTTGGCAAAACATTAGTGGGGTTGTTTATAAGGAAACTCTTAAAGATCTTTTGAATAAGTTGGGGGCATCTTAGAAAGATGAATTCCAGTATGAGAAACCATTTTACCTAAAGTGCACTTGAAACACAATGATGAAGCTATGCAGATACACTTTAAGCAGACCAAGTATAAGATTCTGTATTTGCATATATCCTGTTTTCTTTAGAAGAACAATATGCATCTGTGTGAACCAAAGCAGTGTCCTGGGGTCAAACCTGAATACCCTCTAAGTGAGGTGCCTCCTCCCACATTTCTCTTTGTGGGAGAAATGTGGGAGGTGGAACCTCTAAGTGAGGTTCTACCTCCCACATTTCTCTTTGTTTCACTTCATTTATTTGTATTTTTAGAAAAAAAAAGTCTAAAGAATAAGTCAAAATCAAGTATAGTATAAGAGAGTATAAGACAGAAGCCCCCTCTAAAAATTGAAAAGTGAAGATGTGAAGAAAAAAAAAAAAATGAATTTAAAAGCTCTTGAATGATTTAAAACTGGAAAATAATTAAGGAAAGTTTGAAACTTTTATAAGAAAACATTATGAGGATTATTCCAAAATTTTGTGTTATATTTACTCACATCTAAATGTTAGGAAGTTTTTAAAAAAATAATAATAATTTTGAATAACAGTGATTGACATGTAATCCACAAAACAAAAGTAATTCTCTGTGAAGTTACCTCCACTTCAGCTTGTGGCCATTACAAATGCCTTTACTGAAATTTATATAAGCCAATCTATGTCACGTATAAAAGCCAGACAGCTTGAATAACATAAGTTACTGTATCAGATTTATATCTAAAATAGTCATCTGTAGGTATAGATATTATTTATATTATTCTAGATGCAGATCTAAAATAAGATTCCATTGTGGATTATTACCAAATACATCAGAAGGTGGACAGTTTTACACAGAACTTCACATTTTAATGAGTACTAGGAAGAATTCAATGAAAAATTGGGCTTTAACGGCCTCCTCAAATTCAAGACCATGACGCAAGAGCCTGGACTGTAGATTATATCTTGAAAACACAGCTTGTTAAGATACTATCATCAACAGTTGACTTTTCAATTTTTAAAAAGTTTTAAAGGTATCATATGTAATTTTTCTTATCCTTAGTAGAGACCATAGGTAATGAGTAAACCACATAACTGTGTCTGATGTTTATATTGCAAGTCTTGAATAAACTCACTTGTCAGTTTTGACAGGATGCTGGCAAAGGGTCTGCGCACAAGCCTAAGCAGCATGCCCAGCACTTGGAAAACACCATAGTCATCTCACTCATCTTTCTTTCCATGACTCCGCTCCAGGAAGACTTACCACATATATCTCTATGCAGACATACAGCATTAATTAGCTTTTTTTTTCTTTTTCTTTTTTTTTTTTTTTTCAGAGAGTCCTGTGCCAAGGAACACCAGTGTGAGACCTGGGGAAATGTTGCCGATTGAAGACATGAATAAAGATTTACGGATGATGATAGAGCTCATTAGGAATGATATTAGCTAACGTGACACGTCAATTGAGAAAATGGATACAGAGTGCTACCAGGTAAGCAGGCTCAGCTGGTTCCAGCAAGGGAACCTGCAGA